GGAAGAAACTTATGCTTCCTCCTCCGGGGGAGCAGAAATGTGGTGGGGAGACACCCTCGCCTGCTGACCCCTTTGGCGCTGATGCATGAAGCAGTCCAGTACCCAGCCTCATACTCTGTAGGGAATGTCACATCTGGAAAAGAGGATAGTCCCGTGGCTCTTGTAAGACTGAGGGACTGAGCCAGCTGAGACTTTTCTTCACAGAGAAGTACCAAGGTGAAGTGCACATGGACGAAGGCTCGCAGCCTGCCAGTGGGGTTTCCCATCCAGACCCTTTGAAAGGGGAGGAAAATTAATTTTGCTGTAGAGTTTGGAAAACACTCACTTGTTGTGCATTGCCGCATTTATTTGGATGCTGTTTGAGGCAATGGTTTTCTGGGCTTTTTAGAGAGTTTGGGAGAGACTCAGCAGCACTCTCTGGTCTCTATCCTACCTGGACATGAAGGGTTTTCTCACACCCCTGTCCCTCAGTTTCCTGTGCTGTGCCTTAGCCTTCTCTTGCACAGAGCAGGTCCTGTGAATGCTTGCAGGATGAATGCAGATTTGTCTTTGCATGGCTCTTCCTATCCCAGAGATATCTGGGAGATGTAGTAAGGGAAGGAGATATTCACCATTGTTCAGAAAGATTAGATATCTTCCTATCTAAGAGTGCTTGAAATGTTGCCATCAGAATTTCGTTCCTTTAGTCAAAGAACCCTAAAACCCCCTTCTTCTTTACCAGCGCAAATGATCCTCAGAGGCTGAAAGAATGAAGTCATTACCTTCTTAGTGCATGTTGGCTTACCCTGTCTTTCTTTATTTCATGAGAAAAATCTTCACTAGCCAAAGGACCTTCATGGACCTGTCTCCTGGGGCTAGTTAGAGGATGAGGCGGGTGAAGAGGTAGATAGTTACAGGGAAGGAAGGGATACCAGCATAGTGAAAGCCCTGGGGACGCTTTGCAGAGACCACAACCACTGGAACCAACCACAGAACTGTGACTCCAGCTCTTCTTTCGTCTTGGGCCACATTAGTGACAGGAGTGTGAGTGACAGTGCTGGGCGAACTTGCTTCTTGTCCATTAGCAGATAATGGGTGATAACAAAAGCAGTTATCACTTACTAAATAAATTATCGATGATTTCCCAGGCACTGTGCAAAGTGCTCTACACACATCTCATATTTGCTCTATTTTTTGGTAGAAAGTCACAAAAGGCTAGAGGTTTATTTGGGTGGATTAGAGAAAAATGCAAATTTTCATATCTACGAGGTATGACCGAAAAATACAGTGGATGCCAAATTTTTTAAGAATTTATTACAGTAAAAAATACATTATCACTTGTCGCCCTCAGAGTACTCCCCCTTGCGTCAAACACACGAAGCCCATCATTCATATCTTTAGCTGTGCTATCATGGCTTCCTCAATGTCCTGAATCGATTCAAAACATTTACCTTTCATGGTCATTTTGACTTTGGGGAAGAGCCAGGAGGCACACAGAGACGGCCCCAGTGAATAAGGTGGACGAGGACACACCACCTCGTGTGTTTTTATTTGACAGAAATATTTTTAATTGATTGAGGACCCTGAAACAGCCACACAAAGACTCACGAAAGAGGACTTCCAGAACTGCTCCCGAAAGTGGCAGGAACGATGCGATAAATGTGTTTGAAGCAAGAGGCCACATCTTGAGGGGAATCCATGGCAATGTGTCCTTACTGGAATCACTTTTTAAATTAAAGCATTCACCTTATATTTTGATCACACCTCATAAGTGTTGGTCCTCATGCTTTTCTCTGTGGTGCCCCTGTAACTGGCACCCAGAAGGTGAGGTGACAGACTAACCCCCCTTCCGCGTGTCGTCACTCAGAGTGGAGGAAGCTCTGGTCCTCCTTCCCGTGTCTTCTCTCACTCTGGTTAAGCCCCAACTCTCCAACTATTCCTCACAGGAAGGGAACTCCAGGCTTCTCAGCATCCTTCTCACTCCTAAAGCATCCTCTTTAGCGTTATTCTCATAATGTGTGGGAAGAATAGGTACCCAGAACCCCCATGAGGGTCTCCACAATGATTTTAAGGACACACCAAGTCCTGGGAGCAGAAAGTGAAGCTAACTCTACTTGTTCTAGTTACAGGCCACGAAGAAGCAAGAAGCAGCCATGTGAAGCAAAGCACTGGCTCTGTATTTTTATCTTTATTTTTCATATCATAGAAATAATGCTGCAAGGAATATTTATTTTAAAGTATTCAGAGTTCACAGATTTTTCTTAAAAGAGTGAAAAATATGCTGTATTTCAAATAAATTTTTATGAACATAAAACAACAAATAAAAACAGAAATGTAAGCTGGTTGTGGTGGCACAGACCTCTTATCCCAGTGACTCTGGAGGCTGGGGCAAGAGGATTGAAAGTTCTAAGCTAATCGGGGCAATTCAGCGAGACCTGTCTCCTAATGAAAAGCAAAAACGCTGGGCGTATAGCTCGGTGGCAGACCACTTATCTTGCATGTGAAAACCTGGGTTCACTCCCTAGCACCACAAAAATAAAACAAACACACACACAAATGTATTTAAATGGAAACTTTAAACTCATATTTCTAATACAAATTATTAGCAATAAAATAAATATTAGTAACTATTCTGCAGATGATAGAGGAAAATATAGTTATGAAAACTTGATAATTGTGTTTGACTTTTAAAAATGTATGATGTTAGGTACAGGCACAAGCACCCAATGATAAATGTAAACGTATTGTATACCTAAAATGTACCAATAAAAGAATTTAAAAGAAAAAAATGTATGATGGTAAAAACAGGTGTTTATTATGTCATTATTAAGCCAGAGAATATTTTTGTACAAAGTTTCTGACCTTTCAAGTATTATGCTTTAATGTTTTCTCCTTATCGTTTGTATTTCTACTAGGAGCTTTTTATTTTTGGTTACTATGGTTACTTACATGCAGCATGTTTTAGTTATAAGACTCTAAACTAACAGCAACTAAGCCAGGTGTGGTGATGCACGCCTGTCATCTCAGCGCTCCAGGAGCCTGAGGCAGAAAGATGACAAATTCAAGCCCAACCTGGGCAGCTTAGTGACATCCAGTCTCAGAATTAAAAATATGCAAAAAACTAGGGAAATAGCTCAGTGCAAATGCCCTGGGTTCAACCCTCAGTAAGGAAAAAAGAACAAAAAAGAAACCAAAAAAACCTAATACCAATTTCAATCACACAGAAAATCCCCACACTTTTCCTTTTTCTCTTATCTTCCATTTTATGCTTCAATGTCATACTTTACATCTTTTTTGTATTCTATATCGATCTGCAACTTATTGTAGCTTTCGCTTTTAGCACCCTTGTCTTTTAACGTTTCCTCGAGAGTTAGCAGTGATTCAGATACTATCGTGACTTCTGAATTTGCCATATATTTCTTCTTACCAGTAGATTGTCTCCCTGTATATGTTCATACTTTTCATGTTGTTGTTTAGCTCCCTTTGGTTTCTCTTCTATGTCATTGAGCTTCTTTAAGTTGCTTGTTTGGGATTCTTTGCCAGGTAACTTGGAGATTTCCATTCTTTAGGTCCAGTCACTGAAGCTATATTAGTTTCCTTTAGTTGTGCTGTTTGCCTGATTCTTTATGACCTGTACAGCCTTACGTTGGAGTCTGTGCAGTTGAAGCAAACACCAAGCTTTATAGACTGGCTTGGCAAGTAAATAATGTCCTATTTTGTGTCCCTGAGTGGATAGAATTGCAGCTGGGTCAGTGATGTGGGCTTACTGCCAGGGACTTGGATTCTTTCTGCTCCTTAGAAGACTCACCTGCCTCAAGCAGCATGATCATCAGGGTTTGTGCTGGGTGAAGGGTTTGCTTTGGTTCTATGCTGCTGGGCCTGGTACCAGGCGTTGCTCCCTCCAAGTTCCTGGATGGGCTTTTGGGGAGGCAGCACTGCTCCGGGACCTTGGCTGAGTAGGGCTGGAGCAAGGTCACTGAGCTGCTTCAGGAGGCAGGCAGTCAGGCTGAGGTCAGCAGAGCTGGCATGTCTGTGCTGGGCCAGACTGCATCTGGGCTGGGGCTGGGGACAAAGCAGAACTGGGTTCAGGACCACTCCAAGATCTGTAGTGGGGCTGAGGTCAGTGGGGACATGGGCAGTCTTATCTCCCGCCGGTCCCTGAGTGGGCAAGCGCACTGCTGTCACAAGCCCATGAAGGGAGAGGGCTGAGGTGCAGGGCACGTGAGGATTTGCTGCAAGGCCAAGGTCGGCAGCCTGGCTCCAAGAGCGCGGGTGGTCTTGACTCAGCGTCTCCCCAGGAAGGCGAACTGCTCCTAAGCCACCACCAGAGAGGCCTTAGCTGAGTTACAGGAACAGTTCAGGTTCCACAGCTGTGACCGGAGCCAGTAGAGCTGAAACCAGAGGCAGGTGGTTTGACCAAGGCCAAACAGGCTACACCTGAGTCCACAGGGCGGGGAGGCCACTTCCCAGCCCATAGCCCAAAACGCAGTTGGTGAGCCTGCCACCTGGGTCAGGCTGCGCTCCCAAACAGCCCTCCCATGTCTCCAACCCGGCTGCACCAGGGCTGCAAAGACTTCCTGCTAGGTACGAAGCACCTGGGGCATGCTTCCTGAGGAGTGGCCGCCAAATGCTAGATGCTGTGGGGAGAGGCACCAGGTGGAGACCTCTCTCCTGCCTTCCTGCTTTTTACTATTATTATTTGCATGTGTGATAAAGGTAATGCGTCCCAATGTGTTTTATAGAACGGTGCTGTGCTATATCACCCACCACATTTTATTTTATTAAAACATTATTTCATTAATTTTATTAATTTATTATTTAATGTTTATTAAAACATTATGGCATTAAAATATTATTTTATTTTGTTTTATTTTATTAAAACATTAAACTTTATTAAAAATTATGCACAGATTACAGAAATAACAACATCACAAAACAGCAGCTTAAATAAAAATGAAATGGTTTCTGGTGGCGTTAGCTTGCTTGGTGTCTGATTTTTAATGTTGCTTTTCCTCTCCCAGCAATTCTTTGATGTAGAGGAAGAGGAAACTACTTTGCACGATGCAGAAAATGTCGAATTGGGTTTTTTGTCAAGAAAGCTGAGAGAGAAGGAAGAAATTATTAAAGAATTAAGAGAAGAACTAGATCATTGTGAAGGATTTCAAAAACTTGTAAGTTTCAAGCCAAAGAATAACTAATTTTAATATATGTAAATAAAGTCATAGCTAAAAAGCTTGGGTTAAGGATGAATGAAATTGAACTGATGTATCTTGGACATCTCTCTGTCATGTAAGCCAGTCTGACACTTGACTGTCATATTCTAGAAAACTCAATAATTATGAACAAGACCAATGTAATTGTTTTCAATTTTTACTTATAGTGGACATAAAATAACCTACCTCCCACTGCAAAAACAAAACAAAACAAAACAAACAAACAAAAACACCCTAGAAGAGCCTGAAAATGGATTTTTGGTGTAATTCTCTGGACTTCTACCTTTTTTGCAGGTGGGATAGCTTGAAAGACACAAACCCAGTCTTCCCAAGAAGCCCACTCGGGACAGAATGACCTTTACCTAAAAATGTCAAGAAAGAAAATCGCCCTACTTCCAATTTTCCCTAGTGCAGTAGAATCTGGAAGCTGCTTTAATGCTTAAACAAAAGACAGATGGAAAGAAAAGTGAAGAGTAAGAGCAGAAAGGAGAGCCTAGACGTTTGTCCTGGAGGGGAATTTTTAAGGGCCGTTGACCACATAATAACTCACCCCAAGCAACACTTGGGCAGGTGTCATTGCAACCAGGCCATTCTTATATTGAATAAATTTGATATAATGGTTGTTTTTCTATTTCCTGTTATATTATCTTATAAAAGTTAATGAAGATGCAATTTTTGGTCATCCTACATTGAAGTAATTAGATTGGTAAGTTTTAAAGTGTGGGTATTGAAAGCACATTCAGCTTCATCAAATGTTAGCTCTGAGGTACTAGTTGCTTCAGGCCCCAGCCACAGTGCATCACCAAAGCTTGTTTAATCCTGAGGTTCTAAGAGCAAAAAGCTGATTGGAGGGCTGGGGATTTGGCTCCATGGTTCTGCTGCCTACCTTGCAAGCACAAGGTCCTGAGTTCGATGCCCATTACCAAAAAAAAAAAAAAAAGCTGATGGGAGCTTGGGGTTGTAGCTCCATGGTAGACCATCCACAGTGGATCTGATTGGTTAGGACAGGCTAGCAGGATGCCAGGACCCAGGAGGAATAAAAATCTACTGAATACCCACTGCGATTGAGTCTCCGTGTCCAAAATGCTTGGGACCAGAAGTGTCCCAGATTTGTATATATGCATTATGTGAGATATCTTGGGACTGGAACCCAATTTGAAACAAGAAATTCATTTGTATCTCATATACACATTATACACATAGCTGGAGGTAGTTTCTACAGTATTTTAATAGTTTTGTGCATTAATCAAAGCTCTATGGTGTGAGATTTTCCACTTGTAGCCCTCTTGCGGTGCTCAGAAAGTTCTGGTTTTGGAGCATTTCAGATTTTCCAATCGAGGATGCTCCATCTTGAGCACGTAGCAGGTGCTGCATCAGTAGTACCCCTCCTCATCTCACAGCTCAGTGAACAGAGCAGGAAGCAGAAACAGGTGGTTATCTAGCCCTCCCATGGGCACGCAGCTATGAGTGGTAAAGATGGCATGTGAACCAAGGTCTACTGGAATCCAAAGCGCTCAGAAGGAGGTGGAGCTTTATATTCTATAGTAAGAGTTAAATGTTATAATGGATACATAAATTATGCTACTGTGATGTACATTTCTTGTTATATTATAGCATATATGGGAATATTAACATATGGGTGTGCACAAGAAAACTCTGGGCAGTTATATGGCAAACAGATAACACTGGAAAGAAATACTTATGCATTGCTTGTCAAGCAAAATCTAGAGTTTATCTAAATCCCAGGTCAGTATTCTTATTTGCTACTCCAATGTTATAAGAGATGAGGAAATGAATACAAACCGTTCTAAAGGGCTGTGTTTACTAACTGGTGAAGGAGTGTTTGCTTTGTTATCTATTAGAGCACCCTTTAAGCAAAGTAGTATTAAATACATCATGAGCATAAATCAAATAAAATTGAACATTTTTAATATGTTCTGATTGCACTGGAGTAGGAAGCACATCATCCAATTTTTGCATTTCTTTTCTTTTATCCTTTCCTGACTCTATGTTTACCCTTATTTTTTTAGAAAATAATTTAACAGAAAAGACTAAAAGCTATCACAGTCAGATTTTAATCCCACCGTGACCAAAGATATCCACCATAGACATGCCAAGATAATTTTGGTCCATTTAGCTCTCATTTGTGAAAAACAAGGTTATACTTCTTAGCTAAAGTAGAGTTATGATAAGGGTGCTTGATGTAGTGAATGTGAACGGCTTCAAGCGCTTCAAAGAAAGATTAGAATATAAATTCCAGTTGGGAAAGGAAATGAGAATGTTCTTATGACCATCTGGTATATGTCCTGTAAAATGTGCAGAATAGGACTTGGATATTGCAAACACCCCAGTTCAGTGAGCCGAGCCCCTTATACCTCACACTTTCCAAATCTTTACACCGCTCCATGTTCTCCTTACTGGTGAGCTGTCCGTCTGGATGTTCCGGGACAAAAACGAGGGTGGGTGGAAGCTGTATGAGGACACCGAGTGTAACTGGTCTGTTCTCTGGGTCAGGGTGGCATCCAGAACACTGCGGGCATCCCACAATAGTCTGTCCACGTGGAGACCACATAAAATGCTTTGTTAACACCGTAAGATTTGTGGAAGGTGAGGTAACTCTAATTAATGAAGGGTAGAGATCTCTCCTGGGGAATCCAAAAAATGTATGGCCCTGGTCTCCTGACTCACAGGCGTGTGTTCAAGGATGTAGACCTTAGTGCCACAACAGCAGGTCATGGGTTATACCAAATAAACCCATGGAAAACACTCCTCAGAATCTTCCAGAACAACCTTTCCTAATATGCCCTGCCCCTTGAATTCTGGATTTTACATATATACATATATATGCACATATAGTTTGATCTTATACAACTGCCCCCTCTAGTGGCACAAAATCCTGAGACACCATCTAATTGGAATACAGAATTTTCAGGAACAATTAAAAATTTCAAAGTAGCATTGGAAATAACTTGAAAAAAGTTGAAATAAACATGTTTTAGTCAACTTATCTAAAATTATCTATTCTTATCTAAACATCTATATCTAATTATTCTTATCTAGAATCAGGTTGCACAAATAGCTTGTTTTAGTTAATAAGGAGTCATAATGTCTCTCCCGGATTGTTTCTGAGAGAAAGACAGTAAGAATGTAATAGGAAAGGGCAAATAAGCAGCTTCTGTAAATTATATTTCTGACAAAGTGGAAATCAGGAAAGGGAGCTCTTCACGTTTCAGAGGAGACCACCCTTGGCATCGAGTTTTCCTGAGAGCAAGTTCATGTAGAGGATGAGACTGACACTTCTCACTCTGCAGAAACCAGTGTGACTCGGCCGGGTACCATGTAGGCATCCGGCTAGCACGCTGTCCTTTGTCTAGTGCTCTGAGGACTTACGAAAGGAGGTGTCCTGTCAGAGGGTGTGTGTGTGTGTGGCCACACGTGTGTTCAAGTCCGCCGGCCTTGCTGTATGCAACACACCCCAGTGCGCATGAGCTGCGTGACCAACCCCCACCCACCCTCCATGGGAGGACTTGTGTGCCTGTTGCTGACAACTCTGAAACAGCACTGTCATTCAAGAGTGGCATCTCTGCAGGGCCTCGTGGCCCCAGCGTGCCGCTGCCCTGGCTGTCACTCACGGGGAAGCACCTGCTCTTCTCCATGACTGTCGCGGGGCTGAGCGTGCATCGGAACCCTCCGCCTCCTCCCCCGTGCCAAATTGAGATGTCGCAGTACCCTACCCGGAGCAGGACGGAGTTGCCCATGGTGCAGAAGGGTGACTGCTGAGATGGCACCGAAGGAGCTCTGACCCAGGGCTTCCCAAACTCTGCTGTCCCCTTGAGTCACCTGCAGAACTGGGTAGGGTAGGACTCTGCCGTGCAGGGTCTGGACTGCAGCCCGACCTGCATTCCATGCCTTCCCGGGTGATACTGAGGCTCCTGCTGCCCGAACCACACTCCAAGTGGGAGAAGTCTGGATTCTACTCTATGCAAATGATTCTCTGGACATTCACCTTGGGTTTCTGAAACCTGGACGCTGTAACTCTGTGCATCTTGTGAATATTCCCAAGGGAGGGACACAGTGCCTAGGCCACCAACTAATGACCGAGTCTTCACAATATTCTAGAAAAAACTGAGAATGGCAATTTCCTATACAGATTTAAAATTCCAGTCTAATTACAGATCACCCGCAGTGTCTTTTAGAGTATAATGTGGTTTTAAATAGCTGCACCCAGTTAAGTGCCTTTTAATGATCTCCGTCCTACTCAACCTTGTTTTATTAATGCAGCTTATTTTAAAGGAGTCTCATGGTTTAAGCAAACCAAAAACTGGCAGAGTGGGCAGATGGCAGAAGAAACACCACCACAAAACCTGCCACTCAGAGTGCAGCGGGCCGCGCAGCCCAGAGCTATCCCTTTGTTCCTCTTGCTAATGAGTGTCCTCGCTGCGGGCCGCGGAATCCTTAATTACTTGCAGTTCCTCGAGCTGACGGCCGGTGGAGACAGAGCTAAAGGTTAACCTGCAGGAGCCAGGGCTGCAGACCGTGGCCCTTCCCTGGGCCGTGCCGAAGACTCTTGGGAAGCACCTTTAATTATTCATTCTAATCAATGGTACATTTTAGGTATACAATATAATGACATTCGTCATTGGAAATTTGCACCTTTACATAGTCTCTCTTGGTTCTTATTTTTCACCCTTCCCCTGCCCTCCCTTCAACCCCTCCATTCCTCCTATTTACAAAGATTTTGTTCCTATTTTTCCATTTTCTCATATTAATCCCATTCCCTTCTATCCTTTCCCCTAGCCCTCCCACTTCCTTCCCCTTTGCCCCTTTTCTTCCTATTTCACATTACCTATTATACATTTAGTCCTTATTTACACTTTCAGTTTCTCACACCAGGGAAACCATTCGGTATTTATACATGTGTGTCCTGTTTATTTCACTTAAGAGTATCGGTTCAATGTGCATCCATTTAGTTATAAATGTCTCTAATTTCTCATGTTTTATGGCTGAGTTGTACTCCATTTTATAAGAAGTGAAAGGAAAAATGATGAGAAATGGAAAAAATGGAAATAAAGTCTTTGTAAATAGGGAAGGGTGGAGGGGGTGAAGTGAGGGCTAGGAATGGGGAAAAGATAAGAACCAAGATGCATCATGAAAAGGTACAATTCCCAATGAGAAATGTAATTGTGTTGTATACCTACAATGTACCAATAAAAGAGTTTAATAAAAAATAAAATATTTTTTTAAAAAAAGCACCTTTAAGGCTTCACTGCTACCAAGTTTTACATTTCAGCAGATTCCTCCAAATAGTTCTGTCGTTTATGAGAATAGGTGCTTGCGTCCTTCCCAGTGGCTTTTCATAGTTGGGCGCTGTGAGACAATGCCTGCCCAAGCCTGTTAGGGCTAGAGTTGGTTCGTTTAAAAAATCCTTTTAGTCTATAAACACATCCTGTGAACAATGTGAGACAAGAAATTAATGACTGGGATTCTTCCTTTACGAACACAATAGACTTTTTAGTACTCACGAGGATGGATTGGGCTCAAAAAATTGAAATGCAGTGGTGAATCAAATTCTTAAAGTCTTGCAGCTGAGGTGGGCATCAGTGGTAGGAACTTGCCTAGCATGCCTGAGGCCCTAGGCTTGATCCCCAACACCATACCCCTCACCCCCCCAAAACACCCCCCCCAAAACCTTGAAAATTAGTAATTGAGCTTGGTGCTCAGCTCAACAACATATTTTAAATACTAATTTTGATATACATATATATATAATTTCATTCATAAGCCATTTGTCTTGTAAAGGATTAACTAGTATTATAAAACATTCCAACCACTTATTTTTCTTTTAAACCTGTATAGCACAGGGGAAAACGTTTCAATAATTTCTTCACCAATATCTCTAAGTAAAATAAAAGCAGAGTTCCAAAAGCAAACCAGTATATTGGAAGAAATATTTTGTTCTTGAGGGGATGTTTTCTTCTTATTTGTTTGTAATCATGGAATTATTACACAAGGAATGGGCTGTCAGTCACCTGAAGATTAAAGTTCAAAAGTATTTTTAGAGCCTGTAGTAATTTGGAATTGAGACATGTCAAATTTTCTCTTTAAGCGTAATAATCCAATGATTTGTTAATATGTTTGAGATTGCATAATCCATTTAATGTTTTACTATGATGAAGTATAAAATTCTGCACCAGCCCTCCCCACCCATTATATCTTAATTTTTTTTTTTTTTAGCAAAAAAGTGTGGCAGTAAAATCTAGACAGCCATAAGGGAGTATATTCAGATGTTTTCAATAGCTTTTTAACACAAGAAGAAGAAGAGAAAAATAAAAGAGTTGAGGTCCCAATAAGCGTCTATCGCGTAAGAAAAAGCCTCTCCCATAATGGACAGCGCAAGATTTAAACAAAAGACGCACATAATAAAAATGTAAATGAGTTTGCTTTACTAAAACTATAACTTTAAAGTCTTTTGTTGCAAGTTATCCTGAAACCTTCTTACAAGGTAATCACTGTTTGCATAGAGATTTAAACCGAAGTCTTCAATAGCATTCAACGCCTGCGCGGGCCCGGGTGACAGGCATGCAAAGCCACGTTAATGTTCAGAATATGAATTGCCTCTGGGTGGCTCCTCCACCCAGCAGAAAACCAACTGTGTGGATCCCCTCGCCTGACGGGGGCCATGCGGCTCCCAGCCTGGAAACGTCACCACTTTGACATGCGAAGTGCTCCTCGCCACACTGGCAGCGCCGACACTGGAGATGCCACAAAGGCAATGAATCCCCTCCGTAGCCTTGTGCTCTGCCACCCCCTGGCGCTGCCCATCCGCGGTCTCCCCGGCCTGCCTAGTTACGGCGGACAGCACTTCAGACACACAGGAGGAAGGCTGGGTGGAGGGCCCAGCTGCCTCCCGGACACAGCCTCCATAAAGAAGTGACCTGAATGACGAGGGCACACAAACAGTATGATATGCATTATTCCTGTCAATAAAGTGTCCCCATGTGTTGGGGTCTTTGTACAGAATGTACTGCAGCTTTTCTTCCTGCGAGCTCTATTTAGCCTCCTTCCTTTTTGCTATTCATATTATAAGTGTGTAATAGAATTCAGAAAATTATATGATAGCTCTTCTGTATCTGTATTGTCCTAGCGCTGCATATTTAAATCCTCAGCTCCCCGCTTAGAGGTACGGATTTCCCTATCTTTCAGGACTCTTTTGTGGAGACCAGCTCTTCCAAATCAACCTTAGAAAGGGAGAATTGGGATCACAAAACAGAATATGAGAAACTGCTCAAAGTTGTGGCAGAACTTGAAGAAGAACTCAAACTCAATATAAAAGAAAATTCAGCGTTAGGTAATATTTTGAAACCTTTTTTTTTTTTTTTAGAAAAAATAAGCACATTGTAAAATTCACTGCTAGCCATTTCCACACATCTGTTTGTTTGGTTGTTTACACTTAAAGATCAATTTGGTAGCTGTCTGCTTTTCCTTTAAGAGAGCATTCATTGCTTACAGCAAAGGACTTCCGTGTGGTCATACTCCTGACCATGCATGCCATGTCAATTTAGTAGTGTTTCATTCAAGCCAGACGTTGGCTGCTGCACAACAAGGTGCTAATCGATGTCCTACTTCCCTTAGAAATATTATTAACAAAAAATTTTGCTGATTTATTGCATATGTTTAATTGATAACCTAAACTATAACATTCACATCCTTAAGCATACACACTGGGATATGCTCTGTAGAAAAACACAGTTGGCCCTTCAGCAAAAAATGCTTACTACTTAATTTTCATCTATTTTTGGTACAATTTTTGGTATAAATTTTTATTTGTACACTTTATAGCCCATTTTTCATGTCATCAACATCGATAAGAGTTGCATTTAAATCACCAAAGTTAAATTTCTTTAAAATTCTTTTTTCATTTAATGGCTGTCTTTGTGTTTATCTTGGTTATGTAATGCCTTTGACCTGCACTGTGAAAAGCAATGAACAAGGAATAAGAAATTGATAGCAAAACATGGATAAAGTGAGATACAGTATCCGCTGGCTATAAAGTTATACTTTACCCATGTGATTCTGTTTGTCTTCTGATGTGGTATGGTAATGCTTTCTCAGGTTTGAGTAGTTCTTATTGAGCCCTAACCTGCCACCTGCTAAAGCACTTGGCATTGGCTGTGACTAACAGCAAAAATGTCCTCTGCTAGTATTGATGAAAAGCTTTCTCCCTCAGCCACCCTTGGATCTTGAACTTACTTCTTAATCCCTATCTGACCAGCCGTCTGAACAGCAGGAGGAAGGGAGTGAATGTCAAGGGCAGTTGTGAAGATTACAGTCCTGCTAGCTCTTGCGTCCACTGTTCCTTCCAGCGTCTTCACAGCCTGCCCCGGAGCAGGCCTTTTGGATACGGGGCATACGGAGGTAATTTCATGGTTGGCCTCTCTCTCCTTTTGTCTACAGAAGATGAACTTAGAAGTCTGAAAGAGATTTCAGAACAGCATCAGAGAACCATTCAAAAGGTACTGTAATGTTGATAAATGACCTTTTAAAAATTGAAATATCAGCATCATTGATGGAATAACACTGTGTCTGGCCTGTCTTGGGATGAAGGGGAAAGTTGGCTTATATATTTTCCAGTTATATAAGTGTTGTCATACATTTCCTTGTTATTTTGCGTAGAGTAGCTGATAATGAATAAGAATTTGGTCTTGCAAACTCCTTGGTATAGAGATACTTCTTTTAGGTGGGATAACTGAGCATCTACCTTGTGGATGCTAAAGAACTCAGAAGCTAGTGACACAAGAAAGTCCAAAGATGTGCTTGTAGTTGTGGGGGAATTATACTTTTAAGAACAAGTAGGCTCGTTTTCTGGTCAGACGTTGGTAGATGTTGGCTGATGTTGGTTTCTCTGTACATGAATGAATTCAGCTTATGTGATCTGGTAAATCTTTACTTAGAGCAGGGAATTATTTTGTCATCATAAAAAGGGAAGATTTCCTAGGGCATCAGAGGTGGCAGGGCCAGGGCGCTTCCAGGAGTTCCCCGAGGGGCCCCTGCTTGGTGCTGTCTGGAGTTGTACCATCCTGTGGTGTCGTGGCTGGGTTTCCTTCCATCCTGTGAGCTCCAGGAGGGGACAGGCTACCCAACCCCCATCCCTGGATATATTCCCGGTGCCAAATCCAGGGCCTGGCACACAGAAGAGTACTCTCTGGGGATGAATAGGACAAAGATGTGCGTAGACTTCATAAAACTTACAGATGAAAAAGCAGATTCACATCCCCAAATTATTCCAAATGCACAGAAATGTTTTCCAGGAACTGAACCAAGTATCATTTTTTTAAGTTAAAATTAATTAAAACTAAACAAAATTTAAAATTTGGTTTCTCTGGCCCCTGAACCATGTGTCAAAAGCATCGTGGCAACATGTACCTAAAGTTGGGTTCAGATTTCATCCAGCTCTGATTTTGCAGTTCAGGGTAGTCTTAGATTTAGATTTTTTTTTTTCTTTCTGTGCTTGAAATGGAATCCAGGGCCTTTCCCATGCTAGACAAGCACTCTGCCACTGAGCTACATCCCTAGCCTAAGAACTAAAGCATCTTTTCACAGAAATAGTTACCCTGGTCAATCAGAGGCCCTAATCACTGAATCCTACACACAACCATTGCACAAAATTATTTCATTTTCTTGCGTTTTATCCCATTTGCAATGATGACAGTGTAAATCCCCCTTTTAGAGGTGTAACAACAGAATCTGTGAATAGACAAGTTTAACTTTCTTCACATCAACTTCTAAGGTTAAAAATGAAATCTCAGGGCTGGGGATGTAGCTCAGTGGCACCATGCCTGCCACACATGCAGAAGGTCCTGAGTTTCATCGCCAGTACTGAAAAAAAAAGAAAGAAATGTCATCTTTCTAGTTACTTAAAATAAGTAAAATGAATTATTAAAATTACTTTTATTTTGTTATGTTTTTGACAAAACTACTGTAAAATTAAAAATTATATCTATGATTACATTTTGTTTCTATTTGACATCTGCATTCTAGACAAATAGAGCTTCTCTTTAACTGCTTATTTTTTTTAATCCTGTCTTCCTTTTTTATTTTTTTTGTAGTAACTGGAACTCCACACCAACATTAAATACAGTTCTATTTCGGTATGCAGCAGAGAGAATATAGAACTTCAGGCTCCTGTCACATTTCTGCCTCTGGGTCACATATAGCCCTGTGACAGTCTCTTTTCCTTCCTTCTGGTTTCTCCCAGGCTTACTGGGTGGATAGAATGAGAGAGCACTATACGTGTGAAAGTAGTTTGCCAACTGGATGGGAAATCAGATGTTATTTAGCAAATGAAAACTGATATTTGCTGGTTTGTTCCTGTTATTCTTCAGAGTCAATTAAGTGCAGGTACCTTTAAGGGCTAGGCACTGCACTACTGCCAGAAGAATAAAGTGTGTGTGTGTGTGTGTGTGTGTGTGTGTGTGTGTGTGTGTGGCCCCTGATGTGAAGGACATTCAGTCTAGAGAGAGAGACAAAAGCTGTGGAGCCAGCAATATGGGCCATATGAAGTGTATGTAGAGAGAAGAGATATCTAGGAGCTTCTGGAAACTTCTGGAAAGGCTTTACGAACTCTTCCTCATGCTCTCCTCTTGGGGAAGCCCCCTGGTGCTGGCTTTTGCAGGAAGGCAAGAGTGCAGAAGAGCTGGCTACAGAGTATGAAGGCATAAAGTGTGAGGCATGTTCGTGGAACTGTTTGCAATTCAGTGTGGTGGAGAGTGGAATAGGAATCTGATGAGACCACATGGTGAGAAATCGTCTTAAGTCAGGAACGCCTGGGCATGGGGTTGAGGCAACAGCAGGAAACAGAAGTTTTGGGTACACCGTATGTTCCTTTTTATTACCCTGGATGAAATAAAAAACAAGTTGAAAATGGGTCTGAATTTGGGAAGGCTGACCTCTTGCCATGTATTAAGCACTGTCCATTATGGAATTCTGTGGCTGCTTTTGTGTTTTCTTTTCAGTGATACAGTAACACCATATCTGTGTCTGGCAGCAGCTGGCACGTTTCAATCATGACTTTTATTCTAGTAGGGAGATGGAACAGGAGTCGGGGATGCTCTAGGTGTGAGGCTTAGTGTGCAGTGCAGCACATAGGAGAATCCCGGTCTGGATCGTAAGAAATCAGGGAGGGTGCAGGGAAGAGGGGCAGAGGGGCTGAGGGAGGGTCCAGAAGGGGTCCTAAGCCTGTGAGGAAGCAGCTTGCCTAGAGAGACTGAAGGGTACAGGAGAGCAAGAGGTGACACAGGCCGGGGCACAGGGGGAGAAGATTATTATTCACGCCACAGGTCTGGATTACCTCCTGCATGTGCTGGGGAGCCTTGGACATTGTGTCAAGATCAGATTTGTGTTTCAGAAGAAAATGGGAGGGGACAGAGCCAGAAAGACAAGTGAAGAGATCATTTTGATAAAGTAGGGAAACTGTGATGTCCAGAAACAACATGGACAGCAGCACTGGGGATGTTTATTACGTTAATGAATTCATGAATGAAGTGAATTGATGTCAAAAGCAAAGCTGGATTTTACCACTGTGTACAACACATTCACATAACAATCATTTAAAACACCGAGAAGTCACATGGGTATAACAATGAAGTCTATGCTTTTGGTGCTATTTTCAATGAATAAGACTGGGGCTTGATACACACATAAATATAGCACAAAACGCTAATGTAAGAGAAATGGCTCATATAAAGAGTAAAGCAAAATTGTTCTTTGCGACAGGCTAGGACTTGCTTTATTGTGTATTGACGTTGCTTTTTGGAGGGTGGTGTGGGGAAGGTTATAAATACATTGGCATGTTCTCTGTAAGTTTGTTTGCATGCATACTAACTATAATAGATTACAATAACACAAAAACCTGCAGAAATTCCATCTTTTCTTTGACCATATTCTTTGATCCATTTTTCTTATATCAAAATAGGCTTTACCAAACAATACTGAGGAAGAATTTCAGGTGTTTTGTTCTTTTCTTTAATCAATGTGTCATATTCTTTTTTATTTCAGTTAATGGATAGTAGAGACAGATTACGATATGAGCTTGATTGCAAAAAAGTATTAGTTCAAGATATGGTAAGATGATTTACATTTTCCCCTAATGAACTTGTTTTGAAAAATTTAATTCCATCATAAAAGTTTTATATACTTTATTTGTAACTTGCTGTGGACAATTCACTCACCTTTATCAAAAATCTATGTGTATGCCTAGCTATAAACATGTTTAAATAAGCATTTTTAAAGAAAATGGTTTAAGTATATATAATAAACTGTTATAATAAAGTAATAAATATACTTAGGGAGTAGAAAGTAATAAATACACTTAGGGAGTAGAAAGTAGCAGATATACTTAGGGAGTAGAAAACTTCTATAAGAAATAATATTAGCATTTAAAATAGTGTACAAAATCTTTTCATTTTGCTATGGTGATTTTAAAAAACCCAATATAAGAGCCCAATATTTTGAAGGATTTGCTATTTTTAGCTACAAATTGCCATCAGTGACAACAAAAAAAGAGCCCAGCTAGATAGTTTGGCATTCTGTGTTAGTCTCATAAGAAAACACTGCCTTTTTATGTTCTTTTAAGAGAACTTTCCAGACGGCTGGCCTTTTATTTTACCAGTTGACTCCCCACCCCTGCCCACACCCAGCTTATGGTAGTGTGTGCTTTCAACTGATCACCACTAGTATGTCTTTGTTACAGTAAGCTGACTGTGTGTATTATAATAAAAAATAAAACACAGCTTGACTTGCGCTCTAAATGTGCTTGAAAAGAATATGATACTGTGTAGAAGAGAAAAGGTTGTTCATAGGAAATCAACACCACTTCAGATATTGAAACATTCGCTTTTTTATAGCTTGTCACACTCCGTGCCAAGCCATGACTGTTTCCCCAACTCTGTTTTGTTATTCTCAGCACCCTGTGTTTTGGGTTCCTTGTCATAGAAATTAATGCAAAACAATGCTCCTGGATTACAATAAAGCCTTCTATGAAACCAACTCGGGAATGCAGGCAACGGGGAAAAAAATTATAGCTGGCTCTTCACAAAAACCAAGTGTTAACAAATCTGTTATTCTGAACCCTTTACTTGTAAATACCTGGCATATAAAAATAGCCTCTGTCATTTGCATCTTAGAAATTTTATTCTACCCCATCCTCCGCTGTCCTCGGTCATCTCTACAGAGTCCATGGTCTGCTTCCAAAAAAACCAACTAAATGTGTGTACATTGCCATTAAAATCAAAAGTGTTCTTGTAGGGTGGGAAGCAAATGCTATATGATGAGTCTGTTAGCAGAAACAGGGAAGAAGTCGCACTACACAGTCAGTGACTGTGCCTCTACTAGGAGCAGATTTCATACCCTGTGAATCATCCGCCTCTTTCCCTTTTCTAACTGTAAGCATTTAATGGGTACTATTATGTTGGACACGGGGGAGCCAGTCACATTCTATATTATTGTTTAAGAAATTTGTTGAGCCCCAAGCTTGTTGCCAAGTGTCAAGAGCCTTGTCTCACAAACCCCGCGAGAGCTTTCAGGGTGCTCAGAACTACTTTGGGGTCTATGTTTTCTGTGGAGGGAATGAGCTGAAGGTTCTCACTGTGACCACGGTTTCCCGATGCACCTGCCCTGGGCTAAGCATGGTCACTACTTCCCGTCCCTCCCCCCCAGGCTTTCTGTTGTCCACTCAGAGGGAGGCTGGCTTTGTTGCTCTTGACTCCTCTGTCGCGTCCTATGCCGCTCTTTCCCTTAAGCTAGGATTTGTGATTGGAATAATAAAGAAGAGTGGGAGAACGTGGAGCTGACCGCAGCCATTTCATAAAAATTAGAACGTCCTAGTAGAAAGATTTTTGTCCCACGTTTGCCTGTTACTGTGTCCCAGTACAGCACAAGTTCGGTTCTGGACTGCTGAGACTCTAGTGTAAAACAAAGGTCAAAAAGCTGGTAGTAAAAAGGTACCATCAAGGAATACAAATACACAATGAAATGTGCAGGGATTGGGTCCTTATTAGGAGTTTTGGCAGAGTCTATGAAATCATTTCGTATCTTCCTATGATTCCCAGGCTGAGTTAGTCTGAAAATCTGGCAGCTCACAAAAGAGGGAGAAAGAGTCCTCACAAAAAGGCCCCACGTCTGGATTCTTTTCCTGACCTGACTTCCACCTGCTTAATCGCAGTGTAAGCGGTTTCTCCAGGGTTAGGGAGGAGGTACCGGGGTTGCTCTGGCCCCACACGGAGGAGACAGCACCACGTTTGCACCCACGAGTGGCTGCCTGAGTTCCGTAAGCCGAGCCTCCAGTCTTCCCGGGCCTATCTATCTCCTGGGACGTGGCACTGTTGGGCCACCCCGCGGGAAACTGGTGTTTCCACCAGTCTGCGCAAACCCGCATTGGCATTGGCGTTCTGGGGGCAGCAGCCTGTAGTCAGGGCCAGTGTAACAGGAGCAGGGGCGGAGTGGACTGCAGCCCTCTGCCGCCGCTGGCAGGGGAGCAGGCTTCTCTGCCCGCCAGGTCCCTGCTCCTCATCAGTGAGCCCCGCCCACTTGCCTGTCAGTGTGTCCCCTGCAGTCCCGGATGTGGGTAGCCCTGCTCAGCCTTTGTGATCTAGTCATAAAGCCAGAGAGGAAGAGAAATCTTGGAGTGGCAGGGCTTCCTTGAGCTTGTGTGGTCCAGAGTTCATCAGATGAGGCTCACGGCCCCTTGGGGCAGTGCACCCTGGCTGAAGTCAGCAGACACAGTGTTCTGCTTACAGTCGGGAGGTTTATACCAGGCCCCTCAAGTGCTGTTTCTCCCAGCTGAAGTGTGCCCTTCGACTGGCACCTGGTTGATGTCCACTCATCCTTCAGATCAGACACCTCCTCTTCTGAAAAACTACCCATCCCCTGCAACTTCCTCAGCCTGGATAAGATGCCCCCCTGATTCACACAGAGCACCTGGTTTTCCTCTCCTGGACCTGATTAGTCTCTGTGGAGATGCCTGTGAGTTGGTCTCTGCTGCCAATGTGCTACTGTCCTTGAAGGTAACAACTGCACCTTGTTCAAGGCTGTCCCCTCAAACCTAACATGGTGGCTGCCATGGATAGATTCCCCCATAAGTATTTGCCATGAGTCAGTGAAAAAATGAATAACAAAAATGATTGGGTAAAAATGGCTTAAGCCACAAAGGCATGGTTGATACATAGTTTAATAAGCTAGCAATACTGTTAATACACAATTTCTAGGTCCTACCCCTGTGGGTCTCAGACTTTTTGCTGCTGAGGTGACAGCTCATCCTGGTTTGCCCAGGACTTCTTTGGCCTTAGTACAGGAAGTCCTACATCCCAGAAATCCCTCAGTCCTGGGGGAACTGAGATGTTTGGTCATGCCAACGGCTAGAGAAGCTGGAAGCTTCTCCGATCAGTTCAGGGATTCTAAATGTATGTAAGTTCACGAATCAACAACTCCAATGTAATTAAGAGGATTCTGAGGCAAAATAGAAATTCTATGGGAAAGAAAGTCCCAGCTTTTTAATATTAACCACACTGATATTGATGACAGAGAGGGAAAGTGAGCTAAGCATTCGACCCACTCCCTCTGAAAAAAAATATTACAAACAAATTTATAAAGGCTCCAAAAATTGAAAAGGAGATAAGGGGATAACAGGTCAAACATCAAGGTAAATACAGAGGATCATCTGAGCATTCCAAGTTTGGTTTGCCCTATAAGGATTTACCAGTCTGCACCAAACGAAGTCACAGTCTGGAGCACGGGGTGGAGGAGATAGCTGTGCCCTCTCATATTAGCTAGGACCAAAGACCATTTCTGCAGAATGAAGTGAATGTGAGCCCGAAGTAAACCTGTAGCCTCCCCACTACTGAGAAGTCTGCAGGGGAAAGTTGGCTCCATGCTGAACAAAACACGGGGGAACAGTCTCCTCCTCGGGGGTCCTGAGGGTACATGGGGCTTCCCGTGGGTTTGCAACTCAAGCTGTATCCAAGGAATCTGAAACATTCAGTTTGGTTGAACAGGAAGCAAATGGAAATACTCTCTGGAAGAAAGTACTTTAATCCTAAGCCTCCAAGAATCCTTAAATTTCCCCTTACAATGATAGGAGCAATGACGATCACACAAAGACAAGGAAGCACCAGTGGAAATAAGGAGCCACAGTGAGAAACAATGTAGACTACCCCACGGACTGCAAAAATCGGCATTTTCCTACAGTATTTACTACTTAGGGCAGTGTTTTCCATGGTGGAAGTAGAACTTGGCTTTCATTGAGAAGATGGCAGTGTGTGCCTCGTTGGATTTCAGAATTACCGTGGGTCAGTGATTGCTCTATTCTCATTCTTACCTTTTTTAGAAAAGGGTGGGTTCTCTAGTGCCAATCCTGTGTTCCACCTTGGTATGCTGGCTGTGTGGTCATGGATAACTTGTCTCTTTCGTTTCTGGGTCTTCAGATAAAGAGAGGCCATCCTGAAGGAGGCTGTACCTCGACCTGACATTGATAATGAGATCTCAGACTTTCAGTTGAGGCGTACGTAATAGGAGGAGTTTACTAAAGAAAATGAACAAATGGCAATCAATAACCAAACACTGGAGCCAGAGACCAGACAGATGCAAGAAAAGCATGTGAGAAAGTCCAGTGTGCATTTGTGATTAAAAACAAAAACTACCAGCAGACTGGAAATAGAAGGGAACATCCCCAGGCTGATAACACATGGTACAAAACACAACTGCTCCATATCTCACAGTGAAAGACTCAGAGTTTTAAGCCAGAGATCAGAAATGAGACAAGGATTTCTGCTCTCACCACTTGTGTTCAACATTTTATTTTAGGTCCTAACCGGTGCAATAATACAAGGAAAAGAAATCACTCTCACCCAGTTTAGAAAAGAAAAAATTAAACTGTTTTATTCCAGATAACATGACCATCTTTATAAAATAGTCTAAGAAATTTACCAAAAAGAAAAAAAAAAAGCCACTAGAACTAGTAAGTGAATTTCGCAAGGCTGCAAAGATCAAGATACAAAAATCATGAATCTGTGTAAAACCGGTAAACAATCAAAAGTTGACATTTTAAAGAATAGCAGTCTTGATAGCATCAAAAGTATGCAATAAATATATACAAAACTTGCATGCTGAATAACAT